GGTAAATAAATAAGATCTCCTGGTTAAACTGGCAAAGAGGGTTGAGAACATGAAGAAAGGGCTTGGGGAGTTGGGGGAGGGACAGAGAGGGAGAGCAATGAAAGAGATATCTTGATACAGGGAGCCACTATGGGGGATGACCCCAGCTAAGACTCCTAGCAATATTGGAGAGGGTGCCTTCTCCTGTAATCAGATTTGGAGTACCCTAATTGTCATCATAGAGCTTTCATCCAGTGACTGATGGAAGCAGATGCAGAGATCCACAGCCAAGCTCAAGTTTACACTTTTTTCCTTAGCTTTTTTCCCTTTCAAACTGGAACTGATGGAATGGGCCTTTAAAAGGCTACTGTAAAGAATGCCTGAAGTGGCCAGAGTTCATTTTTAAAAGCTGGTAAATCAACAACAATAAACATAACTGTGATGGTGAACCAAAGTAAAGGTAGGTCTCTTTATATCTGATCACCTCTAACAATCTTGGTTAGGTCCTGCTGACGCAGACAGCGATGATGAAAATTTTAGTGGTTTTTTAAAACTACATGCTCACATGACCATTGTAAATCCTGGACCTTGTAAAGTATTTGAGCAATGTAAATGAGTTACCAGAACAATGAAACCCGACACAATGGATTACCCACATAGTAAGTTGATTTAAACCCAAATCCAGTGGAATAGTCAGTAAATATTACCTCAGACTGATGATGGTCAAGGTAGCAAGGGTTCATGGTGTTGGTAGAAACACTTTTGCTATGGTATAAATGACACTTCAATAATGTGTCCTCCCTGTCCTCTGTAACTATAATTACCAAACACGAGATGAACCAAAATCTAAAAACATTGTGAAAAGTCCTAGTTCCATGTCGCTCAAAATTATCAAATCACAAACTACAGGGAAGTATGGAGAGCTGTTACAGCCTGGAAGAGAGCAAGAAAACACAGTAAAGAAAATAATGGTGATCCTGGAGAGAAAACGGATAGCAGGCAAGACACTGATGAAATATGTGTGAAGTTCAGTTAGCATCAATCACAGTTGAGTCATTGTTTGAGGTGAATAGATCATGATGATACTAGTTCTTAACAAGAGAGGAAGTGGTGGAAAATACCAGAGAAATCACTGGAGAATTTTGAACTTTTTGATAAATCAAAGTGTCTGAAATGACATTGTACTGAAAACAACCCTAATCATTGGTCTAATCTGGTAAAATGTGTCTTTCTTCTTAATCATAATTACACAACCATGTAGGCACACATACTAACAACTACATCATTATGGAATAAATAAAACTTCATAGGATGGCACATAAACTGCATATATTACATGCCACCTGAGTAAAGGCTACAGACAAGGCCTCAGTGTTCTAACTTATTTAGACTGGCTCAGATTTTGTTGAAACGCACCTCCCAGTCTTTGCCCTAAAGTAGCTTCTTTGGAAGAGGAGCTGGAGAAAGCCAGTAATTGTCTCCCTATAGTTCATTCCCCAAGACAGCAGAGCAGAGCAGGCATTGAGCCACTACCATCGTGCACAAGTTCAGACACTGAGGTCCTGCATGCAAGGTGGCTCTGGGATCAGGCCCTGGCTCTGCCTGATCTGAAGGGAGCAAGGGAGCATTTGGCTGCAGCATCCTAGGTAAGCAAAGATCGCTGGGTTCTTCTCACCTAGGTGTTATGCCTTGATTCTGGGATATGACTGGACTCCTTGTGAATAAACATAATTTCTCCAAACTCTTAGTCTATCTCTCTGTGTTTAGCAGCATGGGGATGGAATAGTTGAGGAGCAATATGAGAAATGACCACAACAGGGTGCACTTAAACATCACCTCTTTCTTAGCCAGAGCAAACTATAAAAAAATTTGTTAATGTCACCAGTCGGGAGTTGAGTCAATAATGAGGCCTGGCGAGTATTACAAGGCTCAGTGTGGATGTAAGACAGTTGTATATGCTCAGGAACAGGTTTTAGATCACTTGAATTATTAATCTTTGAAATTAATATGTGATTTAATTTTTACAGATTGTTATGATGTGTATCAGTTAATAGATCTAATACAGAACCATGGTTAAGTCTTTGTCTCTATAAATAAGAGGGGTATATAAACAGCTTCTTCGGTGGGTCCTTGCAGGGACTTTGATAGCGAAGAATGGAATGACACTGACTGTTAGATACTGTACCACTGAAAACAAGCTTCTATATCTCCATCCTTCAGTGTGGAGCATGCCATTACTTCACACAGCAAATTGTCTCTCTATTACTGTCCACACCACCATTTGTAGAGTCTGATATATGTTGTCAGACATACAGTACATCAGTTAAAGATTTGTAGTTCATTGTTAATTAATACAATACAAGACCTGCAAGCACCCAAGAAAGGAACCGAAAGTAAGAGGGGAACAAGATGAGAAGAAGAGAGGGTAGCAGGAATGGGAAGGGGCCAAGAGAAGGCAGTGGGATGAATGAAAATGAAAACACTGTATATGTTTAGAGCAACTGTTGTCATTGCTAAAATGATTGTGGCTTCTACCACCTTTGAAATGAGAAGAATTGATCAATAAACTCACATAACACACTAGTGTTCTCAAAAACATTAAACTACATTCTCTTCTCAATGAAAATTTTATATCATGTAGTTCAAAATCTTAAAATTAATAATAAAAGTGGCCACAAAATACCTTAGAAAGGGAAAAATAAAATAAAATTGCCCCCATTGATGAAGATACCCCCCCAGTCCCTTTAGCCGATTACAATTTTTTCCAGAAAACTTCAAAATTCATTGAGAACATTTGGTCACTTCCCTAAAGAGCTTAATGAAAACCTGTTATATTATACAGTACAGCATTGTAATTCGGGTTCCTGCTGATCTGATATGGTTAGCATGGGCCTGGAAGCTTGTGGTGGTTCTGGCCACCCACTGTCTGGAACGGTCAGAGAAGGAACTTCCTGTATTGTGGGGGAAATTTTTTCTGGTGGCCTCCAAGTAGGCTGGCCATGCAATATACTAAAGTCTGCGATTCATTGTAGGAGGAAAGGGGACCTTTATTGGCAATTAGGTTTAGACTTAGGCATGCATTTGAATAATTAGAACTCAGCTAACTTTACGAGCATCTGGGAGCAGCCATGATGGGATTTGGTACAATTAACATGCAAATGGAGCTATTATGATCTTCCAAACTGTCAGTTTATGTTTCCATCATGAGATTGCTGTTACAGACTTTTTCTAGTGTAGTAATGTTCCATGAATGCCTAGGTGAATGTTTGTTTATGACCTGCAGCTCTAAAAAATTAGATGTATTGTGAAAAATGCCTATGTGAGGAGATCCACCATTCTTTTCTTAGAAAATACTATCAGATTTCACAATAAATTTCCTCAAGATATTTGCCTAGATCATTGTTTTCCTTGTTTCAACTTCTCTTTCCATGTTATCAGGCTGATATGCAAACCATGCCTGAGAGCACACATTTTGTTACCTGCTAATAGTACATTAAGAATGTAAAACTAAGAGCAGCTTAGCAAATTGATGCCTCACAAGGACAAATATGCTCACTAATTTAACCAGTCCTGTTTTCCTTGCTTTGCCTTTCTTTGTCTCTTTCCTAGAATGATGACAATGGGGTAGCAAGGCCTAGGAACTGTGTGACTTCTTCGGTTAATGTTAGAGAGGCATGGAGAACATAGTGGTGAAGAGGGTGGTGCAGCACAGAGAATCAGCTTGTATCTAAGTGAATATTAAATCCTGTGGCCTAGCACCCATGTATCTTGGATGTCTCCTTTATGATGGGAAGCTAGGCAAGGAGCTCTCATGTGTACTGGTCATGCTTGTAAAACATGAAGTGAGCCAGGCTATCAGAGTATGGTACATCTGTGATCCTGGCTGTCAGCCTCCAGTCATTGCTTTCTACACACAGACCACCATTTAGTCACCCATCCACCTACCCATCCATCCACTCACCCATCCACCCACCCATTCATCTAACCACCCACCCGTCCGTCTGTCCATCCGTCCATCCATCCATCCATCTATCCACCCATCCATCCAACCGTCTACCCACCCATCCATCCATCCATCATTCCATCCATTTCTTTTATCCTTTGCTTTGTCATTGAGGACTAGGTTCTTGATATGCCCACTATTCATGAACTAGTCACAGTGATCCTTTCTGAAGGGCTCTGTCACGAAGGACTCATGTACAGGGAAGATGGCGGAGGGAGCATAAGACAGCTCCTGCCATGTGAGCTGCTCCCTAACCCCAGTCTGCTCAGCTGGTGAACTTGCCCAGTACTATTTCTTCCCCTGGCTTGATGTACAGGCATTCTGAGTGTAGCCATGCTTAAGCATGATGTTGTAGCCAAAGATACCTTAGAGAATATCTATAGAAATATAATTTTTAAAAATTCAGAGACTATTTTGAATTTTGTTCTCTGTGCGGCTCAGACACAGGCTAAGCTATCAGGAAATGTGTGGAAAATGAGTGTTTCATCTGAGTGTGGTCCAGAAGCTGAGTCTGTGTTTGGGGAAATCCTACTTGGTTAATAAAGGTATTTAGGAACTATGACTTTACATGAGCAGAAGTTGTTTTGTACCTTGTAAAACAATCTAAGCATCTACAATGACCCTTCCACATATGTTACCTGGATGCCATTTGCTATGTTTCTACTGTGACCTTTTACATGGTACCAAAAATCTCTCATAATGGGACACAAGGGCTGTGGGTGAACATCCTGGTTTACAGAACATACTGAACAATGTTCTGTTGTTGCAGCTGCCTCATCATTGCCAAGACTGGATAGAAAGAAAAGGTCCATGGCCCTGCTCTGAGCTCAGCCTCAGGGATCTCACTTAGGAAGTGGCCAGTCCCGTGAAGGAATATGAGAGGGAACCGGGGATGTCCTTTGCCCTGTGGAGCTCTGAAGGAGCTGGTTCTGTGGGATGCTTTCCTGAGTCTGGGCACTGGCAAAACACCCACTGGCAGGTGTGTAAGGAAGCTCCTGCCCACATCCTGAGAGCAGCTCAGGGCAGACTCTGCAGCCTGCTCTCATCCACCCCAGTCTCTCCTGGGTGCTTGTTGTCAGCTGCCCTGCTGTGTCCTCTGCCAGCCCAGACTGAGATGGGCAAGTCCATGCTCCTTCTGTTGCTGCTGGGGGCTTTTTCTCTTGTGTTCTTCCAAGGTGAGAGTGAGTCCTTGGAGGCTGAAATGGGGATGAGGACAGGGGCTGGAGATGGCTGGGAGTAGACCTGGGTTGATGGCCTGAATAGCTGGGATAGCAGTGTGTGGGAGCAGAGGAAGGTCAAGGTCAGGATTCTGGGCTGAGTTGACCCAATACAACTGGGGATCTTTATGTCCATTAGACCCTGCTCTTGCTAGCGTAAGAAGTCAGGCCTCTTTCCAAGTTCTCAGAGAGGGATCAGTCACTGCCTGGGGAAGGATGAATTTGTGTGTCCTCGCACTTCTATGTCTTCGAGTCTCCCTGACCCCAAGAAGCAGCTTAAGATTGTCTTTAGTAGCTGTCTAGCACTGTCACCTTCTGGGAAGAGGCCACTGAAGAGCTTATCTTAAGCTAGTTTCCCATATGAAGTGCATTGTTTTGCTCAATAGATTTGATTATCAGATGCTTTTGGGGAGAGGTGAAATACTGTGAGTTTGCCTCCCTTCTTTGATGCCAGGACAATATCTCTTCCTCTCACATTTTAATTTTTATTACATTTATTCATTTACCGTGTGTGTGTGTGTGTGTGTGTGTGTGTGTGTGTGTGTGTGTGTGTACAAGCACATGTGAAGACTTGAGTACAATGTTTGGGAGTCAATTCTCTTGCTTTTCCAAGTGGTTTCCAGGAATTGTACTCAGTTCATCAGACTGTTGATTTGTCTCACTGATTCCCCGTGTGTTTTTATTTTATTTTATCTTTACCATATCCTATTATTTTTGTTGCCTTCTCACTCCTTCCAAAGCACTTCTCCATAACAAGTCCTCCTCCTCCTTTTATAAACCATAGACTTTAATTTGATTCACTTACATGAGCATGGGTGTGGGGTTATTTGGTGGAGAGTAGACAACTTAACAGTAGCTACATCACTGAAAAAAGAAATAACCCCCTACCTTGTAGGACATTAACAGTCAACAGTTCTTCAGGGAGGCATGAGACTTTATAATCCCCTCCCGAGTCCATGGTGGAATATTGAGTTGCTTGATCTTGTACAAGTCTCCCTCCAGTAAACACAGCTGCTGGGTGTTCTTGAGTGCACTGAACATGACACCTCCAGGAGATATCATTTCACAGCACTTTCCCCATCCTCCAGCTCTTACATTCCTCTTACCTCCTCTTCCCCAGTGCTCCCTAAACATTGTGGGAGTGGTGATATAGGCATCCCATCCAGGGGCTGAGATCTCAAGAGTAACTTATTCTTAGCACTTTGACCAGTTACAAGTCTCTGCATTAACCACTGACCACTGCAGAGGGTAGCTTCACTGGTTAAGGTTGAGGGCAACACTAATCATCAGCTATATACAAGTCAATCTAACAAAATAGATGAGAAACTGGTAGTAGGCTCTCCCTTAAGGCCTATGACCCTTTGAGATATGGGATTTTGTCTAGTTTCATAGTGCCAGGCATGAAGTGCCTTCCATGAAGCAGTCTTTAGATCTAATCAAAAGCAGTTGTTTACTCACATAACCTTTGTTACACTATTGCATCATTGAGCACATTTGCCTCACACATCAGTATTGTAGCGTGTAGGGTTTACCAGGGTAATACAATTGATGAATTTATCCTCCAAAAGCCCGCAGAGCATTTCTGGCAATATGAACATTAGCCAGCATGAAGTAAGTTTGATTTATGAATGTCCCACAACTAAAGCATGTTGTATCTTCAAAAATAAGGTCTTCCCATCCAGTTCTGATGGGAAACCAGGACTGGTAGCAATGGCCTGTATTGTTTTGGGAACCTTTGGGATCTTCCTGACCAATAAATCAGAGGGAGCTACCCCACATCTTCCCTGAGATTTTCTTTTTTGATTACCCATCTCCTCTGGGAAGCAATGTCCACCCATGCATTGTACGTTTGTTTAAATTCCTTTTTTAAATTGTATTTTTAACTAGCTTAAAAGGCAGTGGGTTTCCATTTCAATTATATTTTTAATTTGCTTACAAAGTAGTGGGTTTCCATAAGGCTTTATCCATATATTCTTAGTTTTAGTTAACCCTTTCCCTTATTCCTCTGCTCCAATCCCTGTTTAAACATTTCCAACCTCAATATTTCCTTCCTCTATATTCTTGTCACATGCAGTTGTCAGTGGTTAATGCAGAGACTTGTAATTGGTCAAAGTGCTACTATTACCATCTCCCCGCTAAGGACCCCATCCTTTCCCATCCTTTCTGTTTTCTCTGCCCTCTACAAACACTGTATATTAAACACACAAATCAAAAAATTCAAATTAGAATCTACATAAGAGAGAGGACCTGTGCTGTCTGTCTTTCCAGGGTCGAGTTAGTCCAGACATTAATTTATATTTTTAGTTTAATCCCCATTTCCTGTAAATTCCCTCTTTTCTTTGCAAATGAATGGAATCCATTGTGTATTTGAACCACATCGTCATTCTTCATCAATTTACAGCTAGGATGATTCTACTTCCTGCCTATTGTGAATAGAGCACTAATGCTCATGGATGTGCCAGTACCGCTAAGGCTAGGTATAATTTGAGGGGATTTATTCTAGGAGTTATAAGCTGGTACCATGTGGTATTTCTGGTTTTAGCTTTTTGAAAAACCTCTACACTGATTTCCCTTGGAGCTGTAACAATTTACGTTTTCACCAAATGTGAAAGGGCTTCCCTTTGCCCAAATCCATGGCAGCATTTGTTATTGTTTGTTTCTTGATGGTGGCGTCTTGACTGGTGAGATGAAATCTTAAAGTAGTTTTTATTTGTATTTTCCTTGAAATTAAGAATGTTGAAACACACACACAGAGAGAGAGAGAGAGAGAGAGAGAGAGAGAGAGAGAGAGAGAGAGAGAGGGAGAGGGAGAGCAGAGACTGCTGCACAGGCAAAATTGGGATTTGTGGATTGAAGAAAGAAATTAATTTCAGGATGAAACAGAACTAAAGCAAAGGTGGATTTGTTAAAAAATAGAAAAAAGGAGGTGTTGAGAGGGAGACAGAGAGAGAACGAGAGAGAGTAAAGCGCATTTTTGCTTCTCAATGGAGAGATACAGTTTACTACAGGGACATAGGGATCAGGGTAGCTCTGCAGTTACATCTCTATTAGTGCTAAGAAATTGTCTCCCTTCGTTGTAACATTGCCCAATATATTCATAATAATGTTAAGAATCTTTCTCAGAAAATAAAGTTGGAAGGTCAATTTATGGGGGGCACCATTAAGATCCAGGAAAAAAGAGGGAGCTGCATGAGGAAATCCTGGTTATATGTCACCATTACCCTAAGTAAATACAACCTAATTTCTGTCCTTAACACCCTTGACTGAGGGGGTCTCTTGAAATTTATCATCTGGCAGAGTGACTACAATCTGCTTGTTATCTTTGATAAATAGTCTTTTGGAAGACATATATTATGTCTGTCTGAACTCTCTGCCTTTCTCGGGGGCAAAATCAGGTCCGACGGTGCGGGAAGGACTTTCCCCTGTCTCAGCATTTTCTTCCAGAGTCATCATAATTCCCTATCTGTTTATCTTGTCTAAGTCCCATTTGTGGATTATTGATATCACTGTCCTAGGAATTGGAGTCCTATTCAGGAAATCATTACTTCTGCTTATTTCTTGGAGTGTGCTTCCTGCTTTTTCTTTTAGCAGTTTTAGTTTTACGTTGAGGTCTTTACTCAGTTTAGAGTTGATGTCTGTGTAAGGTGAGAGAAAATTATCTAGTTCATTCTTCTACATAAAGATATCTGGTTTTCTCAGCATCATTTGTTGAATATTCTGTCTTATCTCTAGTGACACCTTTGTCAAAAACTGGGTGCTTGAAGTGCAATGGCTGTGTATCTGGGCCCTTTATTCTATTCCATTGATTTTTCAGGTCTATTTTTGTGCTAATCCCATGATGTTATTATTACTATTCTCATGTATTTAAAAAAGAACATTAGATGCTTCCATACTTTATTGAACAACCATGCTGTATACACAAGGGATTTTCCATCACTTTATTTCCTACATAATCAAAAATGTGGTGTCAAACCCACAGCTTCTTAAGGAAGCCATGGACCCAATCTTATGCAATACATTAGAACATGCGGTTGCATTAGAAAAATCCCTAAGGGTTATGCTTTATCTCTGAATTCCTTAATCCTCAAGCATTTATAGTCACTTCAATTCTTTGCTCACCTTTTACATCTACTTTCCCTAGCTCAAGCTACAGTGTGCATGGTCTGCCAGTCTTTTAAAAGAGGACACTGTTTGGTAGGCAAGAGCAACTGCACTACAAAATACAGCCCTGGGTGCAGAACCAGGAATTTCTTCATATTCTCACAAACAGGTAAGTGTTTGAGTATTCAGAGATGGATGTAGTCCTGCTCTGGGAAACAGGGTTGGTACTGGGAATGAAAGTCTCCTCACTATGAATGCCAAGTGTTGTTTGGGACACTAAGTATAAATTGTATTTATTAAAGGTTGCTTGAGGGTACAGAAAGCAAAGCTATCATAAGCCATAGAGACAGGCAATGGCGATACACACCTTTAACCCCAGCAGCCATACTAGCTAGACATAGAGCCAGGTGATGGTAACACACATATTTAATAGTAGGACTCAAGAGACAAGCAGATGGATCTCTGTGAGTTCAAGGCCACACTGAGCTACATGAAATTGATCCAGTCCTAAAGAGAAACATCTCACACAAAGGTGATCTCAGCACTTTGGATGACATGCCTTTAATCTCAGGATTTGACAGGTATAAAAGGAAGAGGCAGCAGTCTGGGATTGCAACCTGAGGCTTAGTAGAGACAGGATTGCAGTCTGAGGTTTGTTGAAGAGATTTATTCTCTAGCCATGTTGAGGACAGGACAGCCCATTCAGCTTGAGGTAGAGGTAAGAGCTACTGGCCAGCTGCTTTGCTTTTCAGATATTCATCTCTGGGTCTTTATGTTTTATGTTACAATAAATGCTTTTATCTTCTAGGTATATGGGTCCACAATCACACTGAATTGGACTGTTCCAAAGCATGTTTTGCTGAAAATATGTATTTTGGAAGTCTGAAGGTATCTACCTTTTGCTGCAAAGGTGAAGATTTCTGTAACAGGTTTCATGGTCAAATAGTGAAGAAGGACATTTACTAACTGCCAATTCCTTCAGCAATAGCACTGCGTCCCTGTACCCTATTTCCAACTCTAGGCATCTCTCTATTCCCCTCTGTGTGTTCAGCATGAAGTAAACTTCCTTACAAACCATCAGTTTCTGTTTTTAAAAAAGGCAAACATAAGCAACAGAGAAACAGATGATTCATGTAAGATTGTACCCTCCTTGTTATTCAAAAAAAAGGGAGGAAGTACCATGCATTCAGTTTATAGACTGTCCTTTGTACTTAGCCAGAGCATCTTGCCATTCTAGCATCTTACAAATCCTTATTTCTTAATAAGAGCACTCGGATTTTGCAGTAAACATGGAATCCAGGAGGATATAAAAGGAGTTATAGTGGGAGCACTAAAGGTAAATAGTGGAAGGAAGGAGGACTGGAAAGGGGAGTCTCCATTGGGAAGAAGAAAGGATATTAATTAAAGAAGGAAGAGATGGAAAAATAAAATAACAATAATGATGTCTGATAATTCATAATGAATAATTACATATTTACCCAGAATTACCTATAACACATACCTACCTATTGGGTAATTATTTGTGAAATCTATACTATGTTAACATTAGCTATTACTTAGAGGGGAAACAGAAGGGGAAGACAATTGGACTCACTGAAGGATTCTGAATTTTTTAATAAACCAAAGTATGTAAAATTAAAAGGTATTGAAAACACTACCAAAAATGATCAGTGGTCTACTTTAACACATTCAACAATAGTATGCAAACATGTAGACATTCACATAAAAAACATGTCTTATAGAATACATAATCTTATAGGAGCTCAGATTGTGTATAATGAATGGTAATTGTCCTTTGGGGCCCAGAGAAGATATCTCAAACACCTGGCTTGGCTTAGACAAGCATAGATCTTAATAAAATTTACTCTCTCAGCATCTTCCCCTTGGTTATATTAATTAGAACAGGAGCAAGGGGAGCTGGGAATCTTCTGCCCAAGACTCAATGGAGCAAAAGAGTAGGTTAGTGATGCATAAAAGTATATATTATGTATTTTATTACTGGTGTTTTTTCTAAAATATGCTTTTGTGAATGTTGAAAAAAGAGAAAAGAACATTAAGTCATCCCATCTCCACACCTGTGTGCAAGGTCCCAGACACATGTGGGGCTGCTTTAGCATCAGGCCCTGGCTCTGGCTCTACCCCTGCTTGAGACAAGGCGAGAAGCACTTAGCAGAAGACAGTGTGTGTTTCTTGTGTCCTGGATAAACAGAGACCACTGGGTTTCCATCCTTCAGGTAATGGCACCTATCCTGTGTTGTGACTGGGGTTCTTGTGAGTATCCATCAACTATCAAAACTTTTGGTGTCCCTTCCTTTGTCTGGGGTAGGGAGCAAGCTGAAGTGATAAGGAGACAACTTGGTGAGATACATACATTTATACTCTTCTTGTTTAGTGAGTACCTAGAAGCTGGTCAAAATGGAGAGAGCAACAGACCATAGGGTTTGCACCCAATGGTGCACCTACTGATGCAACACCTACTCCTAAAACTCAGGAATCATCACACAAGAGGGTACCAAAAGAGGGTAAGAATAGAGAACCAGAACATGTGCTCCAAGATGCTATCTTCTCTATAATGACAAGGAAGATAGACCCATGAAATCTCAGGAGTAGGATTGCTTCACCAATACCTGCACAATGACAGCAGTCAGCATATCACTAGGTAGGGGGAAAATTTCTCAAGGTCTCACCCCTAGATAAAGAGCTACAGGCAACTGTGTCCAGTGAGAAAGGAAGAACCAATTTTTTCCATACCCAAGCCCCATGGCAGGTTATCCGATCCCAACGGGACAACATTTAATACAAATGCATACAAGCAAAACTAAATGGATTTACCAAGCTATAGATATGAACACACACACATACATACATACATTCATACATACACACATACATCCATACACAAGTGCATGCATACATATGTATGCATAACAATACTAACTAAAAAATAAGAGTGTGAATCTGAAGGGGAATGGGGAAGAGAGATACCAGAGGAGTTGGAGGAGGAAGAGGAAGGATGAAAATGATACGAATACAGTCGGTTTTATTTTTAAATTAAAAACTAATGCTTAATATTTTGTCCTTAAACACATCTTTCTGAACATTCCTACAAATCTAGGAAAGCCAAGGAGTGATGTGAGGGAGCAGGAACTAGAATGTCCTTGTGGCTGCTATCTGAAAGAACAGCAGGTCCTCGGTTGGATACATTCCTGAGTGAGGCAAGTCTTATGTGTAGGAAGGAACAAAGACCCTGCATTCCTGCACACACAGCAAAGCTAGCTGATCCTCAGGATGCTGGTCATCAAGGACAAACACAAAGCAATAGCAGTGCTTACAGAGTTAAATCCTTAACATCCTTTCCTCTTAGTGTTGTGAGAGAAGGGAGACAGACAGGATGGAAACATATTGTCGAACTGGTTGCCCCAGGACTCTCCCTGTTACCAAGCTTTGATAAGCCCCACCTGGTCACCTTCAAGTATTCTTGCAGCACCTATGATTTTTTTTTTGATTGTTGATTTTTGGTTTTATTACAACAGGCCTGAAAAATGACAAGGTATTATCTTGATTTTGGTACTTCTTCTTTTTTTTTATTACTTTAATTTTAAAAAGCTTGTTTTACATGTCAATCCCAGTTCCCTGTCCCTCCCCTCCTCCCGCACCCTCCATCTCCCCCCCTCCCAGCCTCCCACCCTATCACCATTTCCTTCCACATAGGGGATATCTAGAGTCTGTCATTTCACTCAGGGCAGAGGCCAGGCACTCCCCTAAGAGTCCAGGCTGAGAGAGCACACGATGTCTGTTTGTATGCCAGGGATAAACACTGATTTTGGTACTTCTTAAACCTCATTTTGTTGCTTATAGTGACATTTCATTTGGAAAAGTTTCTATGGGTGTGGAGAAGAATGTGGACATGTTTGTCAAATGAAATATTCTGTAGATAGCCCTTAGGTACACTGTGGTGTAATTATAGTCTTTAGAAATTTTTTTTTGGTTTTTCAAGACACAGTTTCTCTGTATTGCTTTGGAGCCTGTCCTGAAACTCGCTCTGTAGACCAGGCTGGCTTTGAACTCACAGAGATCCACTTGCCTCTGCCTCCTGAGTGCTGGGTTTAAAGGCGTGCACCATCAACGCCTGGTGTAGTCTTAAAATTCTTGATTTCAACTTTTAAAATTATATTTAGTTTTTATCCGTGTGTGTGTGTGTGTGTGTGTGTGTGTGTGTGTGTGTGTGTGTGTGTGGTGTGTGTGTGTACATGTATGAAATATAGTCATAGCGGTAGTCAATTCTTTTCTTATTATACCATGTGAGCTGCTAGAACTGGATTTGGAAGACTATTCAGTAATTGGAAGTCAATTTCAGTACCTGCTGAGCCATTTCACTGGCATTACTTAGCTGAAGTTGAGTTTGAATGATCTATCTGAAGATGGGAGTGAGGGATTGAAGGACCTGCTAACTCTTGGGTCTGTGAGACTTTTACGACCATTTGTGATTATTTCATGAAAATGGGAGTCCCAACTTTTGGTACATATATATTTAGAATCATTGTAGCTTCTTTAAAGGCTATGCCTTTGATATTGTGCATTGACCTTCTTTATCTCTTTTGACTATTTTTTGGTTGGACTCTATTGGATATAAGGAAGGTACCAACTTGTGTTTATCTTTAACTCACTTGATAGACTACCTTTGATATACCCTTTGCTACAAAAATCTGATTTCAATATAAGGAAAAGACGTACCAAAAAAAGCCTGATTTAATAAAAGAACTATGAAAATAATCCCATGATTATATAATAGAGTGTAAAACTAATAGTATGTGTACCCTTTAAGTGTTTTGAACATATATGTACTGAGTTACTTAAGGACACTTTTATATGATTAAAAATTAGGGTATAACACTTTCCTTACTAACAAAATTCAAACACTATGCAGATTTATGCATCAGATTCTGTTCCAACAGAGAAAAATAGGAAAATAGAAAATAATTATTTTATCACTCTTCACAGACAAAATATAGAAATAATAAATGCCTAAATAACTATAGTTTCCTACAAACATTAATTTACTCCTCAGATAAATACCTGACACAAGTTCCAGAGAAGAAAATATATAATATGGCTTTGAACGCACTTGCATACAATAACAAAGCTATTGATTCCTTCTGAGCGTGTTTGAGCAATTTGGGATTAAATAGGAAAATGAAACTCATTTTTTGAACACTTTGAGTATGATTTTATAGCTGGCATATCTGCGTGACTTCAAGGCCATTCTGGTCTACACAGTCAGTTCCAAGCTGGTCACGGTTACATAGTAAGACCTTGGATCAAATAGGAAGATAGATAGATATAGATATAGATACAGATATAGATATGTAATACATCAATATATAATGTAATAATATATTATAAAGTACACTTAATGCTATGATCTATGTTGAGCTTCTGGTAACTCTTTAGCTTCCAACATCTAATGCTTTCTGTGCATGATCACAACATTCAGCGACAGGCAATTAAACAGGCCCTTCACTGATAAATGGTAACCTGGAGCAGGGAAAACACCACCCAAGTAGCCTTTTTGTCAGCCGATGTCCAGATTCTGAAGCGGCAGCCTGGCTGTTTGAGACTTCTACAGACACTGCAGATGATCACTACAGCCACAACTGAGGATATGCTCGGGCAGTCTGCAGACCTTACCAAGCACAGTGGACTTCAGATAACACTTCCCACGCAGCAGCTAGTCACACCCCAGTCAGACAAGGAGCACTTCCTGAGGTGCTCCAGCAGAAGCCCCCTGTTTGATATTAAGGACTAGGTGCTAACATGACCCTTCCTGAAGATGAAGGATGTACACACAATCTTCCCACATAAGCTTCTGTCTAGACAAGCAGGCTGCTGTGTTCACCTTGCCAGCTTCCAAGAGACATAATCCTGTGCCACCCCCTCATGCTGCAACTCAGGCTCAAAAACAGCCTTCTTCCAATTATATTTCGGTCCTCGTTTTGATCTCTAGCATTAAGTTTGAGTGCATAGCATTGAAAGAGGAAGAAAATCAGGGGCCACCGTGTGCTGCAGATGGTAATGTCATGTATATCATTAGCAACACCTGGAGCAAGGAAATGTGAGGGGAATGAGGAAATAAGTAAGTCACAGGAGAGGGATTTGGTGTTTTGCCAATGTGGGAGTGGCTAACTTTGAGCTCTGCTTCTGACAACCCATTGTCCACTGTCTCTGCCTGCATGGACTATAAATTGACTAGAGGCTGTCTAGTCTTTTCTGTGAGTGATCTCTGATCATCATCTGTGGCACTAACAGTCCTCTGCAAGAGTGTGCTCAGGAGAAATGGAAAACCTACTGAAGCTGTGTCTCTTTCTTCTCTGCCTTGAAACCAGTAAGTATTGCCTGCAACTTGTTCCCTTATCTATCGAAGAAAGAAAATCAACTTGCCTTGCCTGTGGTGTTAAGACATGCTGACTGGAGCAAACCTATTAGGCAAAACATGGTTGCAGCCAAGTGACCCAGAGATCCAGTTTTCCATGGGAAGTGACACATGGCACCTGTCTCCTTTAAGTAGTCTTTATCTTTGCAGCTCTCTCTGTGCAGTGCGTACTATGTCCAACTTACAAAAATGGAGAGTGTGTTGATGGGAATCAGACATGCACTACAAAACCTGGTGAAACGTGTATGATCCGCAGAATCTGGTCTTCATATGAAAGTAAGTATGTGATCTGTGCCCTGGAGAATTTCTGTTTCTCCTTCAGGATTCCAAACACCATCTCTAAGATACTGTACTTAGAGAAAAAGAGTTCACTGACATCCAGTTATGATATTCCAAACCTTGTGCTGGGGTTAACTTGGAGAATGCTAAAGCTAAGTACATCTTGAGTTAATAGGACTATGGGACTTCTCTCCATCATTGTATTAATACATTCATCAGCACTTGATCTGCAACATCTCTATTTAGCGTCTGTCTTGGTCAATTTTTCCATTCCCATGACAAAAGAGCATAGCCAAAGCAATTATAAAAGAAAACACTTAATTTGGGTCTGGCTCAAAGTCCTAGAGTTAAAGCCCATAATGATCATGGCAGACAGCATGGCAGCAAGCGTGAAGGCATGGTAGTGGTGCAGGAGATGAGCATTTACATGCTGAGTCATAACAATGGGGAGAGAGAGAGATGGAGAGAGACAGAGACAGAGAGACACAGAGACAGAGACAGAGAGACACAGAGAGAGAGACAGAGACAAAGACACAGAGAGACAGAGGGGGGGGAAGAATGGCATTGGCTTTTAAAACCCTAATACCTATCCCTAGTGACACACCTCCTCCAACAAGGTTACACTTCCTAATTCTTCCAATGAACTTTAACCAAGTGGGGACCTAGCATGGAAATATTGAAACCTATGAGGGCTGCTCTGATTCAAACTCCATAGGCTCCAAAGGCTACAAAATATCAGTGCTTACCTGGTGGCTTTAGCTTTTCTAATGTTCATTGAACTTCTGTCTTAGCCTGGAATCGCCATCTATAGAAAACCTTTTCTCAGTCTCAGGACACCTTGGTGCTTCTCAGTCTTCCTGTTTTATCTATTTCCTGGCATCTTTCATGGTGTGTTTTTCTGTCATTCCATAGAATCTGGTTCTTGTGGGATAATATTCTCTTGATCTCTACTTGCCCAGTTCTGAATCCCATCATATATATTTGCTTAAGGTTCAATGATGCTGTGTGTCTCTACATGTAGAACTTCAAGCTCACTGCTAAGGAAATGTTTCTCCTGTAGTAAAGTCTCTTGGGTAAAGTGACTTTCTCCACATGTAGCTAAAAATGCATGTGTCAGTAAGGCTTAGAGGCATGGAGGACTAACTGCCATTCAAGAAAATTCTGTCATTAAAAGTGTCCTCAATCTAAAAGTACTTGGATATGAGGTTGTATCCTGACTCTCAAAATTCTGCCTTTTTGCTATCTTCTTCCACAGGTTACCAACTGCTAAGTGCGGAGTTGACATGCACGGATGTCTGTAACTTTGATGAAACATTTTACAAAGGTCTAACAACACATACATACTGTTGTGATTCTGAAGATTTCTGCAATGACATTAACTTACCAATTGTGATGGCCTAGTGTAAGCTGGTTTCAGTTGATCTCATCATTCGCATCCTTTCCTTCCTGTCTTTTTTTTCTTCCTTTTGGTTTCATATTTTTCAGGACTAGGGGTTTTCTAAGAGTCATATTTGTGCAAGCCATAGAACCTGGGGACATTCCTTGGTACTGCGAAAATGTATCTGATTATATCAGATAATTATTATTCCTAATATTCCCTAGACATCATCACCATGAATGTAGTGGACATGTGGTTACATCAATGCATTTGTCACATCAGTGGGACTCAGCAATACAGATGAGTAGATAAAAGGATGGTAGAGTGTCAGAAAGAGGGGGAACAGTCCCAGTACCCTAAAGCATGTGGTTTAGGGAACTTGGTTGCAATTTTTTGCATGATGACTTCCAGGGACAAATTTAAAGCAGGAAAGATTGTTTCAGCCCCTGGTTTCAGTCCTTCATTGTCTCGTTCCATTGTCATGGGCCCATAGTAAAGCTAAACATCAAAGAATATGATATACCAAAACTTCTCACCTCATGGTGTCCAGGAATCAGCAAGTAAGAAGTTGCGGTAAGACAAGGATGTTGACAAAATACACTAGGTTCCCTTCTCTAACAAAGTAACAGTTACTGCTGAAAAGAAAGAAATCTAGATGATCTTGTTCCCATGAATGGCAAAAATCACCATGACAGGGTTGTAATACCAAGTTTCACTCAGTGAAGAAAATCTCCAACTATTGTTTCTGTTATATAGCTGCCAGAAAATAAATCCACTAACTGGAAACTACCAAAAGATGGTCTTTTTTTCTGAGCATGTAGAACCAGGAATGAAAATGGTGTTGACTCTCAGTGAGACAGAATTGGATTTGCAAGCCCTCATTCCCTTTCCCCATTAAAGTTCAGGCACCTTAGGATTAAACTTTCATTTCATTGATTTCATGCATACTTAATTCTCAACACTGAGTACAATCAGACTTCTTCTCCATGTGTAAGATATATACATAAATCAGTAAGCCATCAGCCTTTTAGTTAGCACACATAGGATTTATTAAGCAGTTACTACCACAGATTATTTTCCCTTTGTTAATTGGTTATATTGCAAGCATCATGGGTGGAAAAGAAGAAAAGTGTCTGTGGAGTGCTTAGTCATAAATGGAGTATCTAGGACAATGCCCTCCTTCCAAGGCTCAGTGACCAACACAGAAAAGAGAGCAGAAATATTGAAAGGGTCAGAAATGGGTAGTCCTGGGAAAAAACCCTTTCCTGGACATGACAAGGTCATTGCACCACTGGACTTGGGGCAGTTGTGGCTCCCCAAACAAGATCTGCACAAAATCAAGCCAGTCAGCATTTCAGCATTGATGGAGCAGGGGAACATCATTTCCTACCCCTAGCTGAGGGGTTATTGAAAGTTAATGGCTATCAGGGAAAAGAGAATCAGTTTTCTTCTGAGAGTTGGTCCTTGGTAAGTTCTGAATGCTCAGATAGGTGTCCCCAAAACTATGTTTGTTTGAACAGGACCAATTTGACTCAGTGTTTTTTAATGACATGTAATGAGTGACATAGAGAGGATTTAGAAGGAATTGTAGGGAAGAATGAAGATGTGACTATGAATGTATGAAATTCTCAGAAAATTAATAAAATTTATTTATCAGATCTACAGAATGGTTAAGTGGGAAACAGATGGAGAGGGAGACAAAGAAAAGAAGTACCTTGATAGACAGAGCCACAGTGGGGTTAGGAAGAAACCAGGTGCCAGGGAATTTCCAAAAATCCACATGGACAACCAAAGATAAGACTCCTAACAATAGTAGAAAAGATGCCTGAACTGACCTCCCTGTGAAATCAGATTGGTGAATACCCCAACAATCATTACAGAGCCTTCATCTAGTAATTGATGGAAGCAGATGCAGAGATTCACACCAAGAACCAGGCCATATTCCAGGAATCCAGTCTAAGAGAGAGAGGAGGGAACACATGAGCCAGGGAAGTCAAAATCAGGGACATGGGAACCTTGCTCATATGGAAACTCAGGAACTGTGGGCCAACAGCTGTGGAGCCTCTATGAGACTGAACTAGGCCCTTTGTATGTGGGAGACACTCATGAAGCTTTGACTATCTGAGGGGCCCTAGCAGTAGGACCAGGATCTATCTCTGGTGCATGAGCTAGTTTGTCGGAGCCTATTTCCTACGATGGGCTGCCATGCTAGGCCTTAGCACAACTAGAAGGGACTTGGTCCTTCCCCAGCTTAATATGCCAGGCTTTGTTGACTATCCATGGGAGCCCTTGCCTATTGTGAGGAGTGGGTAGGGGTGGACTGGTGGGTAATCATGGGAGGGGAGCAGAAGTAGGAGTGAGAAGGAGAACTTCGATGGGAATGTAAAATGAAATTTAAAAAAAGAAACACTCTATCTTTGAGGTGGGTGTGGTGGCATATACCTGGTATCTCAGCATTCATGAGACTGAGCCATGATGTTGGGACAATGTGACTGTGTCATATAATTTGTTGCTGTATTTCTGCCCATAATTTCTCCTACCAAGGACAGACACATGGGGAGATTCCATCTCAAAGAGATATGCATTTCTTTCTTAGGTGTGAAGATGGACTTCAATTTCACAAAAATCCTCATACCAAAATACATATGCAATAAGCTCATTTCTCTAAAACCTCCTTTAATAAATAGAACCTTTTTGGCAAAATAAAAACCCAGTGAAATGTGCAATGCAATCAATGACCTAGGTTGTCTAAACATCCTATGCCAGGAATTCCTGCTCCCTGAACTCTAATACAAATGTCAAACAACGTATTTATAGTCTTCTGTTATTGTATCTCCCTCTATTTTATGAATAGCTCTCCAAATATCAGCCTGACTAGAACAGATCATTACACAAACTCATGTCTATCTTTCTTACAGACTCTTGATATGTGTTTTATGTAAGTTTTACACCACCTGCAATTATATGTACAGCAATTATTTGCATGTTTTTGTGATGAAGGAAAATAGGAGCACCCAAGACCAGAGCTGAGCAGTGTAAGACCATGACCCAGCAGGGAAGACACCAAATCCCTCAGGTCCACTATCAGAACCTGGAGCTTCAGTTTCAAAGATACACGGTTCTTCCCTTCCAGCTTTACTGACTGCAACACACAACCATCTTGAACTGGTGACACTCCAGGTGTGCAGCTTCCTTTGGCAGAGGGCTCATGTCTACAGCATTTCCAGTACCTTGGGGATTCTGCCAAAACTCCACTTTTATATTCGTAGTTCCACAGAACATTTTCCAAGGGCCAAGGCATATCAACTTCTGTGCTGTCACTGAGCTCTGCTTTTGTCAGATGAAGAACAGTAAATGTAAAAGAAGGGCAGAAAAATGTAAAAAGGGAGAATAGATTCATGAAATTGATTTCTTATGTCTCATTGAAAGTTGATTAGGGAAAATTATAGCTGCACCCTGCTTTAACCTAGTAACAGATGCTAGCTGAGGAGAGCTTTCATTTGAATTAACCTGTAGAGACTAGAGTGGGCTTATGACACCATAGTTAACTAGAATGTTTAATATGATGAAAGAAACACCCTTCCCTGATGTGGAATAGGGTACAGTGGACAATGAGAAGGTAACAAGAATAACAGGGAACAGACAGTGCCTGAGGTCTGCAGAAGAATCTATTGGATTTCCTTCAAAGAGAAAACCTGTAAGCCTTTTTCAAAGCTGAAAATGCAGAGCAAAACCAGACAAATTGTGAAAAATTGTAAGAAAAGTGGGACATAACAAGTAAATCCAAATAAGCATTAGGGCATACTTTAAAATTCTACATTTCACCAAATAGGAAAATCTAAAAGAAATGGATAATTTTTCAATGCATACAACTTACCAAAGTTAAATTTAGATCAGATAAACAATATATCATTTAGTTGAACAGATGAAGAGACTAAAAGTCTGTCTCTCAAAAGAAAAGAAAAGAAAATCCCAGGGCCAGATGGTTTTAGCACAGAATTCCACCAAGGCTTTCAATGAACCATTAATACAAATACTCCCCAAAATATTCCACAAAATAGAAAGAGATGAATCCTTTGTTTTATGAGGCCACACTTACCCTTATACCCAAACCACATAAAGGAGAGAGAGAAAGATGAGAGAGAGAGAGAGAGAGAGAGAGAGAGAGAGAGAGAGAGAGAGAGAGAGAGAGAGAGAGAGACTGTCTCCTATGGAAATAGATGTGAAATTTCTCAATGAAATGTTTGTAAATCTAAACTACAAACACAAAAAAGGATCATCCAACATTATCAAAGGGGCTTCATCCCATAATTACAAGGATGGTTAACATAGATAAGTGTAATACACAATATAAACAATCTGAAACACAAAAACCACATGATCCACATTAGGCAGAGAAATGACCTTTGACAAAATCCAACACCCTGTCTAGATTAAAATCCTGGAAAAATTAGATTTGCACAGGACACATCTCAAAGTCATAAAGGCAGTTTATAGAGAGTTCATAGCCAACATCATCTTAAATGGAGAGAAACTCAGAGATGTTCTGATAAAATCTATGACAAGACAAGGATATTAGCTCTCTTCATACCCTTTCAGTAGAGGTCTTGAAGTCTTGAGGTAGGGCAATATGAAACTGAAGGAGATCAAGAGGATACAAACTGGAAAGGAGAAGTCAACATGTTTCTATTTGCAAAGTAACTGGATGAAAAAATCAGCTCACAAAGATTGAGTAACCCTCTAATATTCAAATGACAAATGAACTGAGAAGGAAATCAGGGAAACACCTGTCACAACATCCTCAAATAACATAAAAATATCCTGAGGTAACTCTAACCAACCAAGTGAAAGACACATGTGACAAAATCTCCAAGTCTTTGAAGAGGGTATCAGGAGATGGAAAGATCTCCCATGCTCAGGGATGGGCAGAATTAATATAGTGAAGAACAGCCACTCTGAACAAAGCACTCTGCAGGATCAATGCAAGCCTCATAGAAACCAATACAATTCTTCACAGATCTTGAAAAAACAATTGTCATCCTCATATGGTTACACACACAGAGGATATCTAAAATTATATGGTTTTAGATATATAAAGTGAACAATAAAAGATCTGCAGAAAATAGCACTAACGATGATTTCAAGAGAGATGTCCTAATAATACAGAAGCATAGTATTAGCACACGTTGATCAGTGGAATTCAATCTGAGACTAGGACATTAATGCACACACTTATGAACACCTGATTTTTTTATAAAGAAGCCAGAAATTCTTTATTTATACACAATAAATTCAATAAAATAGCAGACCGGTGAGAGACCTGCCTCCAGTCTGTGCCCAAACCCCAGCCACACACTGGACTCTGTCTCTCTAAGAACCAGTCTGGTGCTCAACCCACTATGCACCTGAACATCCTCCCCCACAACCCCAGTATACTATATAATCATAGGGCCAACCACACAAGTTTGAAAAAAAGGTGTGAGTGACTGGCCCATCATTTGTACTGCACCAAAGTCCAGACCTAACCAAACCCCGGTGCACATCCCATGACCCTTACTCTCCTATCCCAGCCCCAGTAAGGCAGCTGGACCTTAACTCCACATCTGGTGGAAATCCACTACTCTGCTATAGTCCCCACCAGACTCCATGAGGTGAGAGTCCTGACACCCGGATGTGCCCAATCACCACCCTGCCACCCACTAGACTCTGTCCCACCAAGACCCACTTGGTTGTCCAACCCCATGCACCCGACCTTGTTCCACATGACCGGTGCTGCCCTGAAAGCCCAAGAGACTACATACATAGG